GTCTCGTCGTTACGCGGCGAGCGGAACCAAAAATTTGATATTAAATATTGACAAATTGTTTTCTTACATCCTCACATCTGTATTGAAATAATGATAATTTTCTGTGATATTTATACTAATTTATTGAAATCTAGCATCATTGACTGTGATATAGCCATCCTTTGAGTTGGTGATTAACTTTTGACCGGTTATTGCTTAATAATGGAAATTATTTTCTTTTTTGTCAATGTATTTGCAAAACTCATTGTATTTTTCTGTCTTTCGGTCTTTACTAAATTGTAAATTTCTAACTACCAACAGGGACTTGTTAGATTAGACGTAAAACTTTTCTTCAATATATCACTTCTTTGATAAATTGATTGATGACTTTTGCAGTCATAAGGCCAAAACTACAATGTTAACGCCTCCACTGGCCTTTCATTTTGGATATTTAGGTTAGGCTTTGTTGAATCGTTTACATTTCGGCTTCCTACTCATGTCCATGTATTGGTTAGGTTATTTTGTGTTAAAATGTTTATAGGCCAAATACTTATTCCAATCAAGAAAGACTACTACTAAAATTATCACACACTAAATTGTATATACAAACACGAAAAGATCAGGTTTTTCACGACTCTTGGAGTCGTTTTCCTGCAAACAAAGTATTCAGCCAGTTTTTGGCGGTGTAAATAAATAAATAAATAAATAAAAAAAGTAATCGGATTTTATTAGTTTGAGTGAATTTCAAATTCAAATCAAATAAACTATTACTATTACTTCTTTTTTTCTATTTTTTTCTTCGAACAAATCGATATACTTCGATTGAACGTGACATTGTATTGGTGTTTAACCATTAATTTTGTAAAACGAAACCTAAAAAAGTTTGGGATTACGAATGTTATTCTTTTACTTTTCCGCAAACTTTGTTTGTATGAAAAAGTATTGGTTTTACTAGCCAAAATTTCATGACATCTCCTCTTTCGGACCACTATAACGTCACGCCAAACTTCAAAAATCACATATCTGTACACTAGGCAATGTAGATGGGAACAAATCCTATCGATCAAGACCTATCTGCCTCCAAAAACATGTTTACTATGAAAAATTTGTAAAAAAGCGATGTCAAACTGAATTTTTTTTGCAAAAATAATGGGAGCCTTCAAACAACCGAACACCTACTTGCCCATAAATTTGTTCCGAAATCAACATTTCTTGAAATTTTGTTCGAAAATGACACTTTTGTATGGAAAATGGTCGTAATAGTTATATTTTAAGGTCAAAAATGCTACGAAAAAAGGGTCCATTGAAATTTTGGTTAAACATTAAGCGGGAGGTAAACTAAATTGCTGCGAAGCGGAGAAGTTTAGATTACGTATGTAATTCGTTTTATTTATTTCTATATAGGAACTGTCAAAGTTGATATATATGATTTGAAATCATACAAAGTTAGCGCAATATTGGTACATTGCAAATTCTTTTTTTTTCTACCATTTTGTTACTATAGAATTGAAAAATATTGAAAATTAAAAAATTAATCAATGAATAATTTTTTACTGCATCACTTACAGTTTCCATTACCAATGCAGATACATCAACCACAACTTTACGGCACAAATTCACCATATCAAAGCTATCTTGATAGACCATTAACAGCAAGAGATTTTGAACGTCTTTTGAACATCTTAGTACTTCGACATCAACAATATCAACGACTCGGATTTTCGTCTGGACAAAATCTTTTCGCAAGTGGATTCAATTATAGGGGCAACTATAATCCATATTACCACCAAATTCCACAACCACCAGTGTATAGCCAATTCGACCCACGATATACAGTTTTTAGCCGATCATTACCTCCGATTCCACCTCCGGACAGTTTCTATGCCCCTTACTCTGAACAAGAAAACATGTACCAAGCACAGAATCAAATTGAACAACAATTACCTTATTCAATCCAATCGCGAAGAAATTACGATATCAAACAATTTGTTAATAGTTATTATAGAACTAACTCAAATCATTTTCCGCATGCGAAAGCGAGTACACATGAAAACACTGAATATTTGCCTCAAGATATTAGAGAAGATATTTTATGGCGTATGTTGATGTTGTCCATCCATTCAGACATAAATGCGAATATGGCAAATATACCAGTTCCAGTTGCTAGTACAATTCAAACAACGACTTCATTGCCGGAATCAAAAAAACCCGTTCGAAGTGTGCAAATTCTGGGTGAAGAGTAACGAAAAGCTTTCATTTTTCCGCTGAAGTGAATTTTTCCGGTATACCGACGCACTTTCAAGTGCTAATTTGGATGAATTCGAATCTCCTCTCACAGACTTTAAATTTTTCTCTCACTATAAATTTTTTTCCGAACTTTCTACTACTTTCTATTGACCTAACCGCTTGTTTTGTGATGAGAATTAAAAGTCCCTGTACCGTATCAGTTAAATTATGCATTAATTTGGGTAATCAATTATTTTCAATAATATATTTTTCGCTCTGTTAAAGGTATATGCAAACATAAAAAAACAACAATTATAAAACCAGAAGTTTGAAACTTTTTATATATAAGATTTATTCAATTTCATAATAATGTATATTTTTTTTTGGTTCAGAGATGCATAAACATGACGAAATAAATTTTGCATTAAATGCAACTTGAAACTAATTTTCTTTCTCCAACAGAAATCATTCTTTTTGTAATAAATTAATGTTCAAAGAGTGGATTTCATAAATAAAAGAGAAGTTTGAATTTCAAAAAAATTATCATTTAGTAAATACCCAGTATTTTCTGCCTTAAACAATTATTTCATCACAAATAAGATTTCCCATTTAAATATATAACTAATTTTCTGGATTCAGCTTAAGGCATATGTCTGAAGTCATAACCGC